CGAGGGTAGCCAAAATGGTTCACCCATTCCTGAATCTGGGAGCCCAAGGGTCGGTGATGGTTTCGGAATTTCTCTGGCAGCGCGGGAGGGCTCGGTTGATGGAGTTCCTTCAAGCGGCGACTTGTGCGGACCAATTGGAGGCTCTCTGGAGAAGGATGGACGACGATGCTGATGAAGAGGTGGATCCTTCGACAGCGGTGCTGGAAGTTCTTGGACCAGAGGGTGCGGTGCTTGATCAAGGGAACAATGAATCCCTTATTCCCATTGAAGATGCTGGAGGTGAGACAAGTGGTGACACTGGAGGGGATGGCAAAGCGCCAGAAGTTTCTCCGGAAGAGGAGACATGGGTCATCAAGACTGGCCGACACAAGGATTTTCTTGTGGTCAGTGTACTCCCGCGTGGCTTCGAATTTCTCTATGCAGGACCGCGCTACTGGTAAGATCTTTGACAGCACAAAAGGGTATCCTGGTGAAGGACCAAACAATGATGACAATCCTTCCTCTAAGGGGAACTTACCCTGGATCTCGGAAGACTACCTCGACGAAGTGGTGTCAAAAAAGATGGAAAGGTCTTCAGATATGGGTGGGCTTGTTCCGGGAAGTGAGGGACCATTGGAAAAGGCAGAGGTGGAGAATGTTACTGCCTCTAAAATTCTTATGGCTCTTTGGAAGAAGGGACATAGAGTTGGTTATAGGAGGTTGTGTCGTTTGAACGCATCTGGATGCAAGGTTGGAGCAATGAAATGTCCAATCAAAAGGGTGCAGAAGATTGGCACTAGAAAGGCCTTCATGAAGATGTTCAATGTTTTTGGATCGTCTCAGCATAGCTCAGGAGTTGGCGGAAAACCGATCATGAAGGTGGTAGGACCAAGGCCAGGTTTTCCAGCTGTACTCCAAGCACCAAATACTGATAGCACGTCGGGTGAAGGGAGCAGTCCCCAGGTACATGGCAATGTTCATGTAGAGCACAATCGCCCTATGGACCGGTATGAGGCAGAGCGCTTGGAGAAGAGGAAGAAGGGTTTCTGCTATTGGTTCGGCAAGGGGAAAGATCGCTGCAAATTCGGTGACGACTGCAAATTCATCCATTCCGAAGATGATGTGGTGCTACATTCATATTGGTGCAAATACTATGTGGCAGGGAGAGAATGTTTCGCTGGAAAGGATTGTGGGTTCTCGCATGATGCAACTGGTGTGAGGTGCGTCCAGTTTGCTCGGTCTGGGAAGTGTCGATTTGGTGACAGGTGTGTCTTCGAGCATGGTGTTCCGTTGGAAGAACAGAGGCCAAGGTCTCCAAGGACGCCCCCAAGGGATGGTCCAAGGAGAAAGTCTGGTGCAAATGGTGGAGAAAAGGAGATCTTTCCTGAACAGTTCGATGATGATGAGGAGGATTTTATGGTTTATGACGAAGAGACCAAGATGACGGAACTGTTGATGGAGGCGATTTCATTTCTGTCCGGTGGCAAGCCAGATTTGGCTCGAGCAGAGGCGGACCCATTGTTCAAACTCCTGAAGTTCACTGGAGATGCTGACCAAATGGATCAAGTATGGGTTTCGTGGACCACTGAAATGTTGACCGTGCTGGAACTTCTCGAAGTAGTGAAGTCGTATGAGGTTTCGCTCGCGGAGGTGGAAGAATGGGTCAATGACCTGAGGATATGGTATGAGCGAGCCAATTTGGGAGAGGAAAAGGATCCCAAAAGAGGTAAAAAGAGATCCCTAGAAAGGGAGTCCAGCAAGGATATTCCTGCCGAAAAAGGAGTGGTTGAGACTTCGGAGACGGAGGTTGCCGTTGAAGAAGAGAAGAAAAAGGTAAAAAAGAAGAGGAAAGCTGCAGCTATCGAAGATCCTTACACTCTCATGGTTCCAAAGCCGAAGAAGATGCCGACGATCATTGAGAAGGGTGGATCAACATCCAATGTGGTGGCTTCTGCAGTGGAAAAATCCTCGAAGACGCGCACAAAGTCAAATGTCGGTGGAAAGACAAAGAAGAGGGAGAAAAGTCAGAGTCCCAAAAAAGAAGAGGTGGTAATGGTGCAAGATCCTGAGGAAAAGGATCGTCCATCTGATGCGGATGCACCAGGGTCTGCCACTGCGAATGAAGAGCTGGGTCAATCTTGCCAGGCGATTGAGGACGCAAAGAGAGAAGGATTGGTATCCTCAATTCAAAGGGGCGTACAGGATCCTGTTCTTACAGTTTCGGACCTGGAGTATATTCTGCTGCAACTTCACCTCAAGATTGCCAACAATCGGAAAAAGAAGTGATTGGATGGTATGGATGAAGGGATAGTTTTTCTCTTTCTGGAGACGGGTGCGCTGGAACAGCCAATGTGCTGACAATGTGGTGGTTACTATTAAGGGTATGGAAATCCCTGATAGTAGAAGTCAGTAGCTTTTCGCGTAGCGAAGACCACGGTTTGTGGTGAAGAAGGCCAAGGAGTCTTCAGTGATGAGAGGATCATGGTGAAAAGAGATTCTCTATGGGTAGTAGGTTAGCCAATGTGCTATAATTCCGTCCTGGAAGACGTTAAACCACAACTTGCATTTCAAGCAGCTGGCTGCTGCCTTAATGGCAGTTTTTGGCCAAAAGACCTGCATCTCCAATGTGTCCTAGGAAATCCTAGGACAGGGGGAGTGCGGAGCTGCAATTGGTATTGTAGAAAGGAGTTAGTGTTGGAAGTTGAAAGGGTTAATGAACCCGTAAACCATGTTTGGCTCAAGATGGGCTTGAACAGAAAGCCACAAGTTCAAAAAGTAGTGCCTGGGTTCTTAGGGTTTGGTAAGGGTGTGGATTCCTTCCCCCTTTCCTTTCCCCCTGGGTTGCTCTTATCCGTGTTCTTGGTTGTTTCTTGGTTCGATCTGGGAAATATAAGTTCAGGGCGATTAGGGGAGTTGATTTCCTTCCTTGGTTGTCCCCCCGTATAGGGTTTAGGGTTTCAGGGTTTAGGGGCTCAGGATTCGGGTTGTAGGGCATAGGGCTTAGAGGTTTCGTGAATGTCGGGCCAGGTCGAGGCGGTCGACGTGCAGCGTTCACGATCTCTAGGATACTCGCAAAGGAGCGAAGCACCGACGGCAGCGTGCCCGACATTACGAAACCCTCTGTGCAAGCCCGGGGTCGAACTTCATGAGGTAGGCAAGGACCTCAGTCCGGCATTCCCCAGGCACGAAGGACCCACTTCAAGGCTCTGGGTTTCAGGGTTTCACTTTAGGGTTTGGGGTTTGGGGTTTAGGGTTTGGAGTTTAGGGCTCAGGGTTTAGGGCTTAAAAACTCCAACCTAAGAGCCCCAGGTCGGAGCTGGAGGGGGCTTGGGTGCGGCGAGGGCTTTGGACTTCTAGGCTCTGCGCCAGGAAACCCAGAGCCGCAGAGTCCGACCCGTGCAAATGGGGAGTTTAGGCTTTAGGGTTGAGGGTTTAGGGTTGAGGGTTGAGGGTTTCGGGTTTAGGGTTTAGGGTGATAGTCCACGTTTGGGGTGTTCTAAGTAGACGGCCCAAGAATATCCAGAGAGTCCAAAGTCCCAAGTTTTACGCCTTCAACTACCATAGGGATCTTCAATTCAGGAGTGTTTTTGGAGTCTCAGGGTAGCGTCACCAAACCCCAAACCCTTAAAGCCCCAAACCCTTAAACCTAAACCTTCAAAACCCTACACCCTGCCCGAATCCCACCCCAAAGCCCCAAAACCCCAAATCCCAAACCGCAAACACTATAAACCCCAAACCTCCATGCTGGGAACAGGGCCACAGCTGCTGACCGCGAGACGCCCTGCACACAGTTCACCAGCACCTCGGGGGGTTTAAGGCTTAGTGATCGGGGATTCACCAGAGAGGTTTGGGAATAGGGCTTAGGAGTTTAAAAGCAGGAGCAGCCGGCCGAACCTCTCCGAAGCTTCCTTGAAGTGAAGCCCAAAGAACGGAACAAGCACAGTGCATAGGTTGTCCTACCAAGCTTGGTTATGCTCTTTGGCTTTAGCGCAGGTCTCAGAGCTTGAGCAAAGACAGTCTGGTCCTGAGACAATGCTGAACCTGGCACAGCGTTTGGACACGTAAGCGCAGGCATGCTAAAGAAGTGTTCAACGACAGCAACGACAGCAGGCAGCTGCATATCACTCGCATGGAAGGCGCTCGTCATCCCTTAAAGGGTATTTCTAGGACGTAGGGTACCTCGCCAACAGTAATCTCTGACCGGCCACGCGATGCCGGTCACTGGAGTTGTGTGCGTCGTGGATGAACTGCAATGCACCTGAGCTGCCAGGGCAGCAGAACCAGTATCCTAAATGCACCCGTGAGAGTGTAAGCAGATACAACTATGTAAGCATAAAAACATGAACATATACATATTATGTATTTATGTGTTTGTATACTTACATATTTTCACATTCATATTTATCTGTAATTTTGCATGTATATGCATACGCATCGTTTCGAATGCTTATGCAGAAGTCTTCAGGCGCATGCATATCTGGTGATCCTTGCACATGTGCCACAGAGCCGTCCAACACTCGAAAGAAACCGCACAAGACATTGCAGTCTTTGGGTTTGGACATGGGTGTCGAGCGCTGCTTAGGGTTTAGGGTTTAGGGGTTGGTGTTTGGGGTTTCGGGCTTAGGGTCTATCTAGAAACGCCGGCTCTGAACCCTACAAACCCTAAGCGAAAGCCCTAGGCGCCGTCCATCTCCACCAGAATGTCCTGGTCCGGGGTGTCCCCCAAGCCGATCCTGTTGGAGCTTTCGGGTTCCGTCAAGGGTTGTAGGGTCTTGGGCTTAGGGTTGCAGGGTTCAGAGTGGTGGGTTGGGCACTGGTTTCTTCAAGAAGCTTTGGTTTGAGGGTATTGGGGAGGTTTAGGCTTAGCCGATTGGGGGGGGGGTTAGGGCGGCAGTCTTCAGTGTTTTAGAGGCTCCTGGTATGCAGACAAAAGGTTTGGTTTCGACGGGAGTCAAAAACTAAACCCCCAGTCCAAACCCTACAAGTATACACCCTAAACCACTGGATTCAAGGCTTACGGCTTAGGGAAACAGCCGAGTTTGGCCGAGTGGCTTCTTGTACACGAAGCCCACACCTCGTTGGGTGTTGTACTCGGTCAACAGCCTGAACCCACAAACACAGCAGCACCATGTACTTTGAGCTACTCGAGAAGTGCTCTGGGCCAAGAACGACCTAAGTCTCAGACCCTACATTGTCGGAACCCGAAAAACGGCGCAAACCTTCAAACCCCTAAACCTAAAAGCAATGCTTGGGGGAAGCTTCCTTGAGACCCCCCCCCCCTCCCCCCCATTTCGTTCAAGCGACTTCGAGATGTCCTGGCGGATGTTGACCTAGCGTCGTAAGCGTGGGAACCGGACTACGCCGACTTTGAGGTTTGGGGTTTAGGGTTTTTTTCCTGTAATCGCACACCAATCGCCCTTGTCAGTGAGCTCCCCCACTCCAACCAGGATGACGATGCCCATCAAGGAAGCTCCACTCCCATTTCCGCTGCCACCACTGCCCCCACCACCACTGTCACTCAATCTCGTCATCAATGTACCACCATCGTGCTCCACCACTGTTGTCCCAACGAGACGACGAAGATGCCCGTGAGGTATGTAGAAGATCCGTTTCACTCCCATCACCCCCACTGCCACCATGGTTTACACCACTTTCCTTCAACACTGGCCCCACCACTACCACTCCGCCCAGTTCATTGGAAGAAGTCGCAGCCACATCATCTCCTCCACCACTGAGAAACCCGAAGACGGAGAGGACATCAAAACACCACTCGGTAGTCCATGAGAGTTCTCACATCTCTCTGCTTATCGCCCCCCAGTTCAACCCCTGCAAGGAGATCAGGCTCAGGTGCCGGAACCCAAAACCCCAAACCCGCAAGAATCCGAATTGTTACACCCCAAACCCTAAACCCCAAACCCCAAACCCTAAACCCTAAACCCTTCGAGTTGTGGCCTCCTGGGCCAGGTTCAGGACGTGGGTGATGCCCGTTCGCACGGTGAGCTCCTGGCAGACCGGAGATCCGCGTCGCCACGACCCCACTTGTGAGCTCTTAGGGTTTAGGGTTTAGGGTTTCGGGTTTAGGGTTTAGGGCTTCTTAGTGCAGTAGCCTGGGCTATCAGTGGGTCAATGAGAGAGGACAGCCCTAATCTAGAACTCCCGAGAAGAAAGACTGGGCCGACCTGAAAGACTGAGCGTTCGAGGAAGGGAGCCTGAATACCATGCGCAACCTATTATGCAACCTGGTCCTCCCCAACCCAGAGATCGACAACCCAAAACCCTAAACCCTAAACCCTAGTAAACACTAGGGGGTTGAGACCTTGAACACTACAATGAACTCATGGTCTCGCACCCCCCAACGTCAAACAGGCCTTGTCGTTGTCCAGGTTCCTCTTGCCTCAGCCGCCCCCGATAGACAAGTACAACCACAACTTCGGCTGCTAAGGGGTAGGGGGAAGAGGCAGATCGAGGTTTGGAGCTTGGAGGCTTGGGAGTTTCGGGGCGCTTCGTCGGGCTTCAGGAGTTCCTTCTCCAAGGACATTGCGCTTTTTGGCTCAAAGCCCTAAACCCGAAGGCCCTGAACCCTAAACTTTGAAGGCTGGAGCCAGGCAGCCGCCAACATAGAGCCAGGGCAGGATCTCGCTGCTGTGCGACGTAAGGTGCGACTCGAAGTGCTCCGACAATACCTCCTGCTCCTCAGCTCGGGGGGTGTCCCCCTTGAAGCTGCCACAAGGGGACTACGTCTTTGCCCATTTGGAGAGAGATTTGGTCGCCTTTCAAGCTTTTTTGGCTGCCACCCAGAAGACAAGACTTGTGGCGGCTGCTGGCAGTCATCATAGAGAAGGGCTCGTGTGGCGGATGTGGGCATGCCTTCGCGGCACCTATTACACTACGGGCCGTCGTATTTGGCGTACCCATGACTATAACTCAAAGACAGTGCCTCCAGATCCCCCAAAAATCCAAACAACCAAACACTGAGCATGAACTAGGCCCCCCCCCCCGGCAGAAGTGCTGGCAGGCAGCGCAGCGCGGACATTGCCGGCGGCTCCGCGCGCAGTCGGACGGGATCCTGCCAGGCACAAGGCTTAGACTCCCAACAAAAAAGAGGGGTTTGGGGGTTTTAGGGTTCAGGGGTCTCAAACCCCAAACCCTAAGCCGCCAAAACCCAAAACACAGACCAAAAAACCTGACGACGTCCGAGGCACTGGGAGAGGTCCAGGTCCTCGATCTCCTGCACTTTTCTGGGTTTAGGGTTTAGGGTCTAGGGTTTAGGGTTTAGGGTTTAGGGTTTAGGGTTCAGGGTTCAGGGTTTAGGGTCTAGGGTTTGCGGTTTTGGGGCTTGGCAGCGTCAGGGAGGCTTTGCTAAAGGCTTCCGTGGCTTAGGATGTGGAAATCATGATTTCTGGAACTGGATGCCTCGCCATCAACCTTCTTGCGGCTCCTGCTGCAGTGTGCTTCGGGCACGCAGAAAGGACCCGAATGTAGAGAACCCCACGGGCTCAAACCCGAACCGCAAATCCCCTAAAGCAAACCAAGGCCACAAAATCCCCCCACAAACGCCCCTAAACCCTGAACCCTAACCCCTCAACCCTAAACCCTCAACCCTCAAGCCTAAACCCTAAACCCGTAAGCCCTACACCCTCAGCCTGGTTTAGGGGCAAACCCTAAACACCCCAACGCGCGTTCCCGGTTCCGAACCGGGGCCTTGGACTCTTCTCTGTCCTTCCGCCGCCCCTGGCGCAATTAGGGATTTTTGGGGTCTTTAGGTTTTAGGGCTTTAGGGCTTTAGGGTTTTGGGGTTTTAGGGCTTTAGGGTTTTAGGGTTGTAGGGCTTTAGGGTTTTTGGGTTTAGGTTTTAGGGCTTTAGGCTTTAGGGGAAACATCCCCGTAGGGTTTTAGGGTTTCAGTGGTTTTGAGGTTTCAGGGCTTTAGGGCTTCAGCGGTTTCAGGGTTTAGGGCTTTAGGGCTTTAGGGTTTTAGGGTTTTAGGGCTGTAGGGTTGTAGGGTTTTGCTGTAGGATTTTAAGGTTTTGAGGGTTTAAGGACTTTAGGGCTTTAGGGACTGAGGGCTCAGGCACAGGGTCCCATGAGACAGGAGGCTTCTGCCGACCCGAGCCTCCGCGGCGACGCGCTGGAGCAGCTCAGACATGCCGCTGTCACGGCGATTCGCCTGAGAGGGTTTAGGGGTTTGGGGTTTAGGGTTTAGGGTGTAGGGTTTAGGGTTTAGGGTTTAGGGTTTCGGGTTTAGGGTTTAGGGTTTAGGTTTGAATTAAGGCACAAGAAATGACAGACCCTGGAAGCCGTGCAATGCTACCCCTGAGTCGCCAGCAAAGTCCGGGGAATGCTCCTTATCATTGAGTGTCGTTACACTTCTCTGGTCTACAGAAATGCCATGTTGCACCTCGCCGCCCGCTGCTAGCCTAAAACCATCAGCCCCTGATCCCTGAACCCCAAATCCGCAACCCGCAGCCCTAGACCCTGGGTTTAGGGCTTAGGGTTTAGGGTTTGGGTTTCGGGCTTAGGGCTTAGGGTTTGAAGCCTACACCCCCCAACACAGCGGCATGGGTTGGGGCCTTGGGCTTGGCAGCTGCTTTGGTGCCGGGGCCCTGAAAGCTGTGAGGACTTCAAATTTAAGGTTTAGGGCGGTTTAGGGAGTGAATTTCAAGTAGGGTTTAGGGTTTAGGTTTAGAAGATTAAGGTTTAGGGTTTCGGGTTTAGGGTGGTCTAGGGTTTGAGGCTTGAGTTTCAAGTTGGGTATTGGGAGTTTCGGGGAGTCTCGAGGAGTTCGAGAGGTTTCTGTTTTGAGCGTATGAACAAATTTCCAGCTACATGAGTTTAGAGGTTTATGGTGTAAGGCTTAGAGATCCAAGTTCCAGATGCATGGGAGCCCTAAACAACTTGTGCCCAGCAGGAGCCCAAAACCCTCAACCCTAAACAAACCCTAAACCCTAAACCCTAAATAAACCCTGAACCCCTAAACCCTAAACCCTAAACCCTAAACCCTAAAACCCTAAAACCCTAAAACCCTAAAACCCTCAACCCTCAACCCGCCTTCGCCGGGGGGCGCCTCCCAGCTGGGCCCTTGCCCTTCCCTTTGCCCGGCGGGGGGAGCAGCTCCTGCACAGCAAAAGGAGACCCTAAACCCTAAACCCTAAACCCTAAACCCTAAACCCTCAACCCTAAACCTTAGGGTTTGGGGTTTGGGGTTTTGGGGTTTTGGGGTTCGGGGGTTTAGGGGGTTTAGGGGGTTTAGGGTGGCTTCTTGTGGTACATGCCCGGGGCCTCGGGTGATGACCCACAAAGCGCTCACTAAACCCCCCCGAACTCGCTAAACCCTAAACCCTAGACCCCAAACCCCAAACCCTAAACCCCAAACCCCAAACCCTAAACCCTAAACCCTAAACCCCAAACCCGCACCAGCCAGCGCCTGGAGGAGGAGGTCGCTGCCCAGGTCGGAGCCCGAAGGCGACTGCCAGGCCTCCGTTTCCTGGTGAAGTTCAGGGAAGGCTGGGGGTGGTCTAGGGTGTAGGGTTTAGGGTTGAAGGTTTAGGGTTTTGGGTTTGGGGTTTGGGGTTTGGGGTTTTGGGTTCAGGGTTTTGGGTTATACGAATCGTATACTCCAATATTCCATAGCACGCTTCAAGGTCTTCCTGTGCTGCTTCGTACGGCGCTGGCCTTCGCTCTCCATTTTGAGTCAGCAACCCTTCGCCTTTGCGCCTCGAACATGCCCTACTCCCACGATCTACATTCGCGACCCTTCCCGTGTCTCTATCGTAGTATGCTACCTCTAGTTTAAAGTACTGAAAAAGAAAAAACAGCACAGTTTAGATCAAGCCCCCCGTACTGAGCCCAAGACTTGGTGAGCCAGCACGTCAACCTGCCCACGAATCGCAAAAAACACAGCCCGGAATTTCTGAGCCGATTTCGGTGCTGGGAAATGAAGGGATGGGGACCAAGCTTGTGCTTCTGCCGCTGGCTGCGCGTGCCGCTTGGGTGCTGGACTCATGCAGCTGGTGAAAACTTACCAGGTGGATAACTTACATGAGGTTCTGCATGTAAAGGTTTCTGTGTGTATGTATACATGCTGAAACTTCTCGCATGAGCTGAAGAGAGTTGGAGATCCGGAACCGTCAAAGAAGGAGCAAGAGGCCACCAAAAGGGCCAAATAGCTCCATGTATCCTCTATCGTGTATCTTATGACTATGTAATGTCCCTCTCGAGGAGCAGAAATCACCACGTGGGCGCTTTTTGCAAGGTGAACCCGAAGAGGGGCCCCTAGCGGCCATAACGTCGCAGACCAAACCCCCACTTCTGAAGGCCTCGGCCGCCATCTTTGGATCATCGCCGGAGCGTCTCTCCTGACAGATGCGAACCATGCAACAACGAACCTTCCATCGCAAGCCCAAATGACTCGAAGCCCACAAAAATCGACAAGCCCCCAACTTCCCAAAACGCACACGAAAAAACGTTGTGTGGCGTAAGCTTGACAGAAGACGCAAAAAGGGTCTCAGTTTAACTGCCGTTCATACTTGGATTACCTGCCAAACTTCCCCCGAAAGAGGGCCTGACGTAGAACAAAAAAACCCAGACTGGCCCCGACCAACAAGGGCCCCCAATGCAGTCCAGGGTGAAGTCCAGTGAAGCTGCTGTGGTGGATGGCGAAAGCACCTCCACCACCCGTCTTCAACTTCCAATTTGGAAATTTCTGGGTTGTTGTTAACGGACTCAAGTTAAAGAACTTGGAAGTATGGTACAAAAGATTCAAAAAGACGGTTTCCTCATTCTGGCAACCTGGCCGAAATTCCTTAAACGCAGCCCAGATAATCAAGCACGGTCTCCTCTTCTCTCTTCGAAATTTGCGCCCAACCTTCAAACCCCAAGTAGACCCCTACAACCTCGCGGTTATCATGTGTCCGAGGTAAGCTTGCTGATGCTTGCTGCTCCTACATTGTGAACGCACCTGGACATTCAGGGCACCCAAGAAATGACCATAGTTCAAGGTTTACGGTTTAGGTTTTAGGGTTTAGGGGTTATGGCTTTAGGGTTAGGGTTTCAGCCTTAGGGGAAACAAACTCTCCACAACCCTGGGCCACCCAACCTGACGGATGCAGGCTTCGGCGCATTGTCGCGCCAGGACCTGGCAAATTTGGGGGCTCTGAGGTTGAAGCTGCGGGCCCCTTGAGGGTTTACAACCACCAATCCCTCAACCAGCAACCCATTCACCCTCCACCCTGGCACCCCCCTAACAAATCTTAATGCCCAGCCTGAACCCCCCCCCACAAAGCTTAATGCTGATTTGCATACTGGCATAGTGCCCTCCGGCCGGGAAATGGCACAATGACACCTGGGCATTCGCCACGATGATGCGCGTGATCTCGGCGGTCACCTGTTTTTACCCCGCAATTGGCTTTGGGGATTTAAGGTTTAGGGCTGAGGGTAGCTAAGTGCAGCACTAAGGATCGCAGTTCGAAGATGAAATTTGGGAGCGGTGACGTTTCGAGATTTGGATACCATCCTAAGACACACAGGAAGCTCTGCTCCTCGAAACCTGTTGATAATTGGACCTGAAGAACCACACTTCAAGCACAAGCTCCTGCGGATGTTGGGATGAACACTTGGATACGTCGCAGCCTCCTCTGCGAAGCTCGCTGGGATGGACACCTCGCAAAAAATCAAGTTTTGCGGCACAGTGCAAGATAGAGGTACTCGGACAAGAAGTTTTGAGAGCTCCGTCTCAACACGGCTCTAAAGTGTTCGTTATGTTTCCGAAAATGCCAAACTATACAGTGGTATGTACGTTCTTTGAGACTTGCGGGGGCTGCGCTGCCTGCATCGGCTGCGATGCCGCGAAAGCGTTGGCCAGGGAGGGCTCCATGACCTGGGTATTGTCTGCTAGGCAATTGTGGAGGGGTTGCAGTTTCATGATTGTTTAAGAGTAGAAGTGTCTGGCTTAGGGTTTACGACTTGGAAATGTGGAGGGTTTAGACTGCAAAAAAACCTCAAGATGTGAGTTCTTCTGTGACCCCGTGCCGGGAGAATGTTCCAAAAAAGCTCGAGAAGTCACCTCACAACTAAGCAGGTTCACCAAAAGATCGCACTGGAAGCGGCCACGACTGCACAACAACAATCTTCCAGACGAAGCTCGTTTCAAAGTTTCTACTGCCAAAAGCAAAAATCTTGCTACATCTTGCTCCGAGCGGCTAGGCAAATGGGTGCAGCGACCAGCGACGGCACCCGAAGAAGAGTGAATGTCAGGCTAAAGTTGCTGGGGCTTATGATTAAGGGTTGTTTGATGTCCATGCATGTCTGGGCTTGCATCTCACACCCAACCTGTGTAACCTGTAACCATATAAATATTTTTTTTATTGTAACGAGCCTAACACCAGCTGGTCTCGCCCGTGAACAAGATGCATCTACCTGCTACCAAGTAATAGCCGATGTCAGGTTTCACAAACAGGCCTTGCAAACGGCTGCAGCCAGGCAAGTGCCTCGACAGTTCCCGCCCATGTTGTTAAACATGCTCTAACAAGCTCTGCCATTGAAACTGTCTGCTGTTCTGCAGTCTCCACTTGCAGCAGGCGAACTAACATTGTTTGCGTCAACTAAGCGCAACCGATCACAAGAGTCCCAAAGAGCTCGAAGTTCTGCCGCAGTGACCAACGGAAAAAAAAAAATTGTGACAGGCACAGCACTGCCAAGGAAGCGGACCACAAACACAACCTGCAAGGCCGCAACCATTGTTGAAGTAACCCGTACACAGATTACACAGTCTTACACAGTCTAAAAAAAACTGTAAAACAGGCTGCTTGTTGAGGTTTGTCCGCTTTCCAAAGTTCCAATGGGGTTTGTTTCCATTTTTTCTGTTTTGGAGCAAACGGCCGTCTGGAAATGTTCAGAACCTGTTGTTGAAAGCGGTCGCACATGCTGCCTTTTTGGCAAAGAACACTTACCACACACAAAACAAAGAACACTTTGGATTATGCAAGCCTTATAAACTGGTAAGAATATTAACTACAGGGGCGGACTGTGAAATGCGGAAGTTCCAGAAGAGCCAGAAAGCAAAATCTTCATCCATCACCCAGACATGCAAGAAGTTAGTGAGCTTGAGCAACGACGCACCCACACAGAAAGACAGCAGGAATCGGTATGGCAAAAGTTCTTCTCCAGCAGAAGCCGCAACGGTCAAACGATTCACAACACTTTAGACTGTAAAACATCACATATTCAGAAAACATACAAAAGCAAATCAGAAACAAACAAAAAGAAAAGAAGTCAAGCAAAACACAAAATAACGCAAAACCAAATTAAAAACTGCTCTCTACTGATAGACTACAACTGCGACTACAACTTCAATA